ATGGGAAGCAATGCATCAAGTTTCAAATGACAAAATGTAGATTTCAAAATATTTAATATTTGAACTTGGATTTTTATGTGGGTTTTTATGTCGTGAACGACTTACAAATGACCCTTAGCGTTTCCGTTTATCTGTGATTAAAGTAGGGAAATGTTTTTATACCGGAAATTGACTTACATTGATGACAAATATCATAAATATAAGTATTACTTAATTGCTATCGACATAGTAATTTGAAATTGATATAGAACCAAAGCAACCGAAATACCTCAAAGGATCAATGAGGAACAGGCCGGCCATATAGCTTGAATAACCGACAACCGATTGGGAAGAAAAGTTGGCAACTAAATGAAGTGATGATCTGGTAAGAGATGTAGGAGGTCAGTGGGACCAGGTGACTCAAAACTGTGCTATCTAAAATTCCTTAGACCTATGTTTAACTGTGAACTTGTGATGAGCTATAATGATAATGAGTAGATCTTGTTTGCATATAGACGGTTATTGGTGTATAACCAAAAATTATGCCTGTACAAGTTCGTAAATCTTGTATGCTCTAAAAATCTTATCTAAATTTCTAAGCAAAGGCTTAAAGTTAGCCTAAAGTGCCACAATTTGTACTATAAATTTGCGATTCGTCTTAATTAATACGAACTGTTTTCTTCAATCAGCTTGATCAATTCCAAAGCCGCAAAAAGGATCAACTAAAACCGATCAAGCGGCCATTAACCGTAATTAAAAAATTAGGTTGCTTTGTGTCTGGACCAGGGCTGACGTGTATCGGTGAAACCATTATAACTGAATGAATATTTGATACAAACGCACATACACGAAAACAAACACAAAAAAAACACACACACACACACACACGAGCGCGCGCGCTGCACGTACGCACGCATGCACGTTATTAATATCATCTCATTTTATAGGTTTACTAGCTGACCAGGCAGACGTTGTTCTGCCCTTTCCGACGACCATTTGCTTTCCTAGAAAAAACCCCTGAAATTAGCAATAAAAAAATTGAGGGTCACTTATCGGGATAAAAACTTTCCTATCTCTCAAGTTGGACCAAACTGCACACAGTGTGCAAAATTTCATGAAATTAGTTCAGTAGTAGGAGTTCATCGCGGACAAACAATATGACACGTAATTTACAAAATTAAGGTTACGTAATAAAGCAAATTAAATTTATTGTTTTATAATTTTTCTAATAATAATAATAGGGTTTGCCTATTTCTATGACTTTCTGCCAGGTTCTATATGACATCTTTGTTCCAATTAATAGTGGCACCTGTGTATCCACCAATTGTATATGTGTGGACCGCAAACGGGTTGTTCCGCAACCCGATAGGCTAGATGTAATACAACACGCGTAGACAATGTGCTCGACAGCGTGACGCCATGTCGCACCTTGTCGGGAATCGTCCTTGTCGTCCTGTTTAGCGGTGTTAAGACGCATTAAGTCAAATAGCTCTATAAATGGAATACTATGTTGACACTTCAGTGTAGAAATTGTCACTTTTTTACAATAAATAAATACAAAATTAAGAAACTTTTCCGACAGTGGCAATTAACGTCTTATTTTAACAAATATTTGGAGTTAACACACATTAGTGTAAACGTCTCTAAGCGCAACACGTATATTTATTGACATGCAAATATCTGCATATTATTGTCTTCTTCTTTTTGTTTATCAGTCTCTAATAATCCATTGCTTAATTAATGTATGTGAAATATTGTTACCTTTCAGCCTATTAAAAGTCCCCCATAGATTGTTTCACAGGGGAGATATCTGCCAGTAGCCATCCCTCATCCATCCATTACGGACTGACTATAAACGTCCAAAGCAAAACATAGGCCTCCCACATAGACTATCTAATAGGGTGGAATATTTGCCATAGTAGCTACACTTAGCAGGCGGGTTAGCAACAGATTTTTTATTTATTTATTATTATATATACTTTATTGTAAAATATAAACACTAAAAAAGGATAACAGGGACAAAAAAAAATAGGAGATACTTAAAATAAGGCAGTGTTGTCGCTAAAAAGCCAATTTGAAATAAAAATTACAATTTACAAAAGAAAGTATTGTGTAATTTATTAAAATCAACACTCTTTTTAAAGTATATTTTTATTCTTACAGTACCTATACACAAGCATAACTTGCTTATGTATACATACTTTTTAATACATAGAATAACAAGAAGACGTTCTGGATCTATAAATTTTATATTCCCGCAATGTTGAAACCCGACAACGTCAATCGGGCAGTGCAATGAATAACTGTCGTTATAATACCAGCTAGCAATTTGCGCACGCGCGTTCAGGAAGTCTCCGCATCCCATTAAATAAGTTTGCGGGCGTTTAGCCATTAAACACTATATTTTGGCCGCACCGACGCCGATCGTTTCCTTACTGGCCGTAATGAGGGCATGCATGAGAGCTGCCCGATAAATTATTACTGCGTGTTCATGACTCAATAATAACTAGCTGCCTAATGATATGAGATTAGAGTGTGGCATTCGTGATTTGAAGTGTGGTTAAAAAAAGTGAAGGGGATTTAGAAGCAAATAGATAAGATGAATATTTGATCATTTAATTCAAGATCTCGGTAGTCTGACGGATCGGTAGCGCTGTGGTCAAATGTTTCTCGCACGAAAATCGCACTGAGTGTTAGTCCTTGTGCAATTTATAAGTAAAACACCTATAATAAGAGCTATGACAATATAAGGGAAGTAATCGATGTAAGAGAAAGTACTAAAGTCGAAAATAAGAAAATATTTTTTTTATAGAAGTGGGGGCAAATGAGCATGCTGCTCACCTGATGGTAAGTGACTACCGCCGATTAGTAGAAGATCAAACAGCTTTTCTTGGTAAATATTTTAAACAAAGTTAATAATTCATAATCATGTATAAATTGATGAACCGTGTGGTGGCGGTGTAAGAGAATCCATCACTCCATTTTGTCCTGTGGGTTTTTATAATAGAATTAGGGTGACAAACGAGTACGCAGTACACCCGTTGGTAAGTGGATACTGTGGTCCATAGACATCTAGATTTATTATCGATTAAGAATCAAAATGCAAATGCGTAATCACCCCTGATGACTATGATGGAATGCCTCACATCCAGTAAAAAGTGTCTCCGCTTCTCTAAACTCACCATACGAAACACAGAAACAGTAAGTTGCTATTTGATGCAGGTCTATATTCTGTGAGAGTGTGGTCCTTCCTCGGTCGAGCCGACCAATCCGTGCTACAACTATTATAAAGCATGGCTCTCCCATGTATGTATGGTTTTGTAAAAGGCGACTATGGGATATGCCACAAATATCTGACGACATCCGATACATCACAGTGTACTCATGTTGTCAACGCCAGGCGTAAAATACCCAAAACGGTAACGAGCAGCAGCGTCAAGGATGCAAAACGTCTGGCAGTGCGATAGTCAACGCCTGCCAAGCGTGACGACTAAGACAAAATCTCTCTGCTACGAAAAAGGCTCATGTCCAGCGATGGAACATTACAGGCTGTAGAAGAAATTATTTACTAACACAGTTATGAGTATGACATGGAAGTTGTGACTACGTTTACCAGATTTAATCGAAAGCCAATATAAAGAACCGTTTATTAAAAATTTAAAGCCGCGATAGTTCAGGTGTCGGAAACTGACCATAAATTTCGCGGTAACGATTTCAATAAACTGTTAACTGCAGTTTTAAGTGCAGATTTACCATGGTGGTAAAGTAAGACAATAAAAATTTGATGTCCTATGACTACAGCATACTGATCTTCTCTTCGGTCCATCGTCCACTCAAACAAGAAGACGTACGAGTAAGTACCGTGACGTAATGTAAAACGTAAAAACATTATAATGATTTTAATTTTTATAACATCGTCTTTTACAGTAGCTGGAGTTATAAATTGATAATTCATACCCGTCAGCTATTCATCACTACCCGCATGCCTAAAGAATGCGGTGCGATAATATTTCCCTTCCTGGGCGCTGCCAGCGCTGCCGGTAATAGTAGCCCCGAATCCGACATCATTGATAAGATTTGCGAGGCATCGGATTCCTTGAACACGCGCACTGTTTATTACTCACCGGCTCACCGTCGACCGGTTGCACCACGTCGGCAGACAAGTTGCAATTAAACGCGCAATTGTTTCTCAGGGGCGCAGACGTTTTATTTTACTAATAAGTTGCGATGAGCGATTAATATGATTCGATTATTCCATCCATTCCAATAATCCGGATGATTAATTATAACATTTTTTACAGAATAAGGGTGACAATTGAATAAACAGTTCATATGATGTTAATTGGATGCTGTGGCCTAGAAATCTACATCTACCCTCAAATTAGAATTAAAATACAGATGCGTTGTCACCACTGGGGACAAAGATGGCATGCCTTATTTCCATTAAAAGGGTCTCCGGTTCTCTACAGTCACCTTACGAAAAACAGCTTAATTAAGCTGCTATTTTGCGGTGGTATTCGGTGAGAGGGTGCTCCTTGCCCGGTCGAGTCGACTGATTCTTGCAGCCATAATATAGCTGCAGCATGATTTTACCATGTATAATTAACCTTCCTACTAAATCTGTCGCAGATACAAATACTATGGAGTCTAAACTTCATATCAAGTGGATCTTCTAAAGGATTAGGAAAAAGTTAACAGTCATAGAAATTAAAAAGTACTACTTATTAGTAATGGTTAGTAGTAATATTCAAAACAGTACCAATAATTAACGTCGCCTACGTTTTCAAATAACTAGCACAATTTGATGAGCATGTGTTTCGTCGTCAGCAGTGTAGACAAAGATGCTGGACGTCTGGTGCTGGGATTGTCAAGCGTGACCATTAAAGCAAATTCCCTCCTAAATCAGCAGTGGACTTGGTGTACTACGTGCTTATGATGATGATGAAGACATTTTTCGTTGTATACGCCCTAACTTATGGTTTCGCGAATTCACTTAGCCATTATTTTATAATGATGCTTACCTTACTGCGTGGGTACATACTGAGCACATCGGCCCACCATCTAGCTTCCTCCCTGCTAGTGCCCTTGACGAATGTCACTCGCTCAGGCGCCGTGATGGCAAGGCTGTGAGCGTGCCCCGTCACGCTGTCAGCCTCGCTCACCTCCAGCACCGTGGTCATATCCACGCTGGCTTGGGGGACTGTGTCCGGCTGCAATATAATTAAGTATAATTAATTATTTTAATATCAAGTATGATTATATAATATGATTTGTAACGGTAGGTTGTTTAATGAGTTTATTTTTATTTGAAGGAAATAAGTAAGGTTGACTAATGTAAGTGTCTACTGAAGATGAAGTGACCAAAATCGGGCGTCTCTCTAATGAGTTATTTTCATTTTTAGAAATTAGAAGTTTGTTTATTTCCTCTTTACTTTGTTGAAAACATTTTTCGAGCTGGTGTGTGTGTGTCCACCGCGCTGCCCTCGTATATGTTTGTGGAGCGTACATATCCCTCTAAGCATTATTATTTTTCAGATACATAGGTTTCTTTGCGATTGTTTTTTTGTACCATCAAACACGTGGTAGATTAGTTAAAATTTACTTAAAATTGCAATTAATGATTACATTGGTGCAGGCGAGGATCTAATTAGGTTTGCTGTCTTATCCGCTTATCCCTGAGGTACCACGGCTCAGAGATAACAGTTCAGAGTGTAAAGGATTGGAATACTTCATAAACATTGTGTCTGTTCCTGTAGTCTTGGACATATAAGGTTACCGGTAATGACAGTGTTTGTTGGAATAGTTGCATAATATAGCACTATATTAAACACTCTTAATAGTCTACGTCTGGACGTGGAACCTTCCTCCAACGGACAGACATCAGTAACCATCATCAAAATTATCTTCAAAATTGTCATTTTTGCTAACGTTAGTTTTGAAGTTATTTTTATGCAATACCAACTGGTACCCGACGTGTTGCTGCTGCAGAAGAAATAATTGTGGAAATATTGTTAAAAATTTGGAATTTTTTTAATTAGACTTATTGTTTAATTACTTGTTTAATTAGAAATGATAATACAATCATTTAAATTGAATGATCTATAAACTTTAAAATAAATTTATCGGTAAGATACGCGCGCCGTTACTGTAAGTACTATGCCTTAACCTTCGGGTAGGTGCAAGTAATAAATTGACAATTTTTTACTGTAATCTGATCTGATAATCTAAAATGAACGATATGGCAGTGCATAAAATACGAACAAACTAACATAAATTTTTATATATTAGGTTTCATGATCTATACTATATAAGCGCTTTATCAGGTAAAAATTTGGCCATTGAGTTACACCGACATTTTTATGTACGTAATTCAGCAAGGCTCGTCTCAGACAAAGGTATACGTGAATTTAGCTCAGATAATTTTATATTTTTTTGGTACCAAATTATGGACGTTAAGAACGATTTCCTTGACTTTTACAATAATTGCAAGGGCAAGGCGGTCAAGTATGATACATGCACTTAACCGCACAAGTTGTAATATCGGCATCTTCAAGACAAATGAGCGTAATCTGTTCCGCAGTTTTGTAAACTGTAATTTTTAGCCTCGTGAACGTATTATAAAATTTTCGTATTTTTTTTTTTTTTTTTATAGGATCGGGTGACAAACGAGCACACAGTCCACCTGATGGTAAGTGGTCACTGTGACCCATAGACATCTACATCTATCCTCAATAAAGACTCAAGATGCAGATGCGTTGTCACCCGTGAGGACTAAGATGGAATGCCTCTTTGCCAGTAAAAAGGGTCTCCGGTTCTCTACACTCACCATACGAAACACAGCAGCGTTAAGCTGCTATTTTACGCCGGTTTTCTGTGAGAGCGTGGTCCTTCCCCGGTCGAGCCGACCCATTCGTGCTACAACCATAATATAGCTGCAGCATGGCTCTACCACGTATAAAATTACACCACGTAAAAAAATTTTTTTATATACATTTAATTCAATGAAAAATGAAATAGAATATCATAAACTCTTTACGTGGTAAAGCCCCGCTGCAATTGCATTGTCCCTGTAACGACCCGGAAGAGCTAAGCTCTCATAGCATACCAGCATGTTTTTTTTTTAAATTTTATTTAATGAAACTGAAGTGACGAAGAAATTTATAGTCCACCCTAGTGAAGATAAGTGGATACTGCAGTCTATGGACACCTGCAACCACCTTCAAACGAAGAAGTCAGTAGACGCAATGTCACCTCTGAGGACTGAGTTGGAATGGAAGTTCTGTAAACTCTAATTCTATTGAAAGTTCAAAAAATTATTATAAACACTCCATAGATAAGATAAAGCATGACACTTCAGCCGCAGTAAAGACTTAATTACGTATTCTTAATGAAGCACAAAGTAATTAATTACCAGCGTCAAAGTAAAGTATTGAGAATAAGCGACGCAGAAGCGGAAAGCAACGTAGCGGCATATTAGCACGACGTTGACTAACCGCTAACTGAGCTGGGTAGAGGGCCCGTTCGTCAAGCTGGACTGGGAGCTATTTCAGTACGCACGCATTCATTTGTAGACCCGCCTGCGGTTTCGAAACGTTAGCTAACTTGGAAATATCACTGGCCATAACTCTAAATTAACACATTCCAGACGGCGCATTTGTCGAAATGACTGTGTGCGATGGCTCGGCTCGATTAGTTAATTTTGCGTTTTATTTTTATATTAATTAATTTAATACACCTTCATAGCGATTTTTACAAGAGCCTTGGTAGCTTAAAGGCTAAGTACTTACTCGATGTAAATTGCACAGTATTGAACCAACCGCGGTTTCATCTCTACCGGTACCAATGAAATTGTTAATTGCAATTTTAATTGTTGATTTGTGAATGAAATTGTTAATTGCAATTTTGATTGCTAAATTGATGAAATTTAAGTGCCACGAGTTTGGCGGTGAAGGTAAATATCGTGAAGAAACCCGAATGTTAAGACATAAAAAAAAAATCGAAGACATTTAAAGTAAGCCAACACGATTAGGAGGCAGATCTAAAACCCTCCCAGAAATAAAAAAAGAAAAAGAGGGCCACTTTCTTTTCCTTTCTTGGTGTTTGACCCAGCAATGGGACGTATATAGTAACTTTATTGTCATCAAGTGTTCTTTATACAGGTATTAACACACTGTCCTCTTGTTTCAACATGCACAGAACATTTTTATTATTGGATAGGGTGACAAACGAGCACACAGTCCACCCGATGGTTAGTGGTTGCTGTGACCCATAGACATCTACATTTATCCTCAATAAAGAATCAAAATGCAGATGCGTCGTCACTCGCGAGGACTATAATGGAATGCCTTGTTTCCAGTAAAATGGGTCTCCAGTTCTCTACACTTACCATACGAAACACAGCAGTGTCAAGCCGCCATTATACGCTGGTATTCTGTGAGAGCGTGGTCCTTTCCCGGTCGAGCCGACCCATTCGTGCTACAACTATACTACTAATATAGCTGCAGCATGGCTCTACCACGTATATAATATACACAAAATGCACAGATGCGTTGATAAACCATGAGGACTAAGATTGAATGCCTAGTTACCACTAAAATGTGTCATCAGCTCTCGTCTCTCGCCGTAAGAAACCATTCAGCATTATGCCAGTAATTTGCTACTACTAGGTGTACTTCTTCTCTGCAGAGGTCCCTCTGGATAGGACCACCCTCTTACTACTTACTTCTGCCGCGAAGCGACAGTGCATGCACTACTGTGTTTCGTTCTGACGTGTATAGAATTTTAGTAATACTATTCAATAGTCCCGTAAACTACTGAAAGTAAGGTTAAAATTAAAATACTTATTCTTACTTATTACGACAGTAATCGAATGGCGGATTTGAAACCCCAACTCATAGAATTATTGCGTAATAATTCTATGCCCCAACTATTAGTGTAGCACTCCGCGCCCTTAACCATTAGGTCACTGTCGTTTCTTAAGTAAGTAATTTCGAAAGGTGATATTATATTTAAAGCTGCAATTCAATGGATAGTAGAAATTAGAAAACAATAACTCCGGAAAAAGAAAAAACGAATGCAATGTAGAAAAATAAGTGACGTGGTACCGAGCTATCGCATCGGAGCGACCTTGGAAATTTCCGCAAACAAGATCACAATGCAATCTAAGCCGGCCGACCTTGAGACCTCGTGACCTTGAACTCGGCCCGGCTCCAGTTTCATCGTCGCAGCGTATAATTTAGCATTTATCACCGCACGGGCCGGTGGTTATCCTAGCGGTATGCAAATGTTGACAGTTAGGCTACGGTACAAGGCACAGGTCGGGAGCGGGGGTGCCCGCTATATCACTGTAATGATACATTCGACTGCCTTACCATACCTTACCTATTTATAGCGACGGTAGCCTTATAGTAGAGTGAACGATAACGGTTAAAGGTGCGGACTACAACTGCTAAGTCGTAGGTTCGAATCCATAATTCGACTAGTGTGTGAAACACTCCTAACCCAAGCATTTTTAAACTTGAGAATGGTTCATGAGAATATTAATAATGTTAATAGCGTTATTAATAGCTATTATTCCTTTTTTAAAACAAAAACCCGCCACTATAAAGTTGCTACGATCTTTATCTATTACTATATTATTAAGTATTTTTTAATGATTGAAGGCAAGTCATCTTTTAACAAAATATTTCAAATTGAATGTGTACATTTAATAATTTTTTTAAAACTACTTTTAGATGTGTTCTTTTTTGAACTTCATTTGTACGAATTTAAATAGAAAGCTTATGAGCTGAATCAAACAGGGACTAAGTTATTAACTCTGTTTCATAAAATTATTCGTCTATTACTCTTCATAATAATGTATTGTTAATAACATCACAAGATTTAAAATTTCACTTGTTGAATATTATCTGTATTTTTCCTCCTTTTTTACCTTTATGCCCTTACTACTTACTATTAATGTTTTCTCAGCAAAACAAAACAAAAACTATGCCATAACAATTATAACTATTGTTGAGATGTCTAAGATTAGTAACCACGTGGCGACAAGATTATACTCGCGAAACGCAAACAATACTAGAAAAAATAAAAATAAAATTCTTGTACGCCGTGGCGACTTCGCTACGATCTTAAAATGAACGTTCCGCTCGAAGTTCAATCATAAATTAATTGACCGAGAATC